AGATCAATAGCGCGACGTGTAGGCCAGAAGAGCGAGTGCTCCAGCTTGGTGAGGAGAGTTATCACTGTTTATCTAAACGATATGCACCGCGAGTGTTGACCCTGGGTTGCGTAAACGCATGCCTGACGCATACCAGCGACCACAGCTCGGGCGATTTGACTTCCTGCCTCGATTCCGGCCGCCTGGTTGCATGCTGGCGCGATCAACTTTGCGAAAAAGGTAGTGGAAACATGTTAGAAAGAGGAACCAGTCCTTCGATTCCAAGATTCCAGCAACCAGACAGGCGACGGGAGACCGAGAAGTGTCACGACGGAAATAGAAGGGATCCTCCTTCTGGAAGGATGTCAACTGGTTTTCTTAGCTTGCATTGTAACACTTGTAGGGACTTATACAGCCTGTTCCACTGGTTCGTCTACGTATTCTGCGTCTCAAAACCAGACGAAATTGTCGCATTTTCTGTGATTCAAAATCAGACGAAATTGTCACGTTCTTCATGCATCGAATTACTGATCGAAGCTTCCAAGTTTGATCGTTTCCAATAGTTTTAGAGATCCCACTTTTCATCAACATTGCACCTAGGGACCCCTTGATAATCCATATTTTTTAGGAATTAAATTGATAGTCAAGGCTTCCAAATTTGATCCACGTCCAATGCCTTTTCATATCAACTTTGTCAACTGATAACTATCAATATTGGCAAAACGTCGTACGTAAGAAAACCACGGGGCAAGCCTCGAACCCGGAAATCTCGATCACAACTCTTCAGTCAATCCAAACGGCAAAACCCCAAAATTTTCTTTCCAACGATACCGCACGAAACGGGCGAATTTCGAGATAGCCGCAGAGAGAGCGCACCGTTCAGAGGTTGAAAGACGCGTTCGATTTATCGGTCGTGGAGCGATTTATCTCGGGTAACCGAAGGCAACGTCATTGGCAAATAATGTATGCGGTTCCACAGGCAAGTCGCTATTCTTAGAGCTTTATCGGGCCGAATTTGCTTTACGTATCAGGCCCGTGTTAAAAAGATCCTATTTGCTTTGAACGAGCGTCTCTATGGGAACGTGTAACGGGTCTCGAGGTGAAAATAATATAATTCGACAGGGACGAAACCTGCCTAATGCACCGAATGCTTGCGTAACCGTGAATTTTCGGTCTACAATACTTTTTAACGAGCAACGTTCCTCGGTACGTAAGTGTACGTTGAAACGTGAAATTCGTCACGACGATATCAGCCGTAACGAAGCGGTTTAAACGTCTAGGCGGGGGTCGTTTATCCTCGCTCTTTTACCATCGCTGGCAACCCAATTCGAGAATTACGATCTTTGCGAGCAAATATGAGCGTCGTCGTCGTCCCCCCTTCACGCCTTCGATCATTCTCGCGGTAATGTCATCTTGTGTACACTGTGTCGATCTAATTGATTTTCCTTATTTTTCGAGGGAATTTTCGAGCATCCGATAAGCTCGTAAAATATAATAATAATATTATCATTGCTCGATGACGTATTAACCACCTGTTTCGTAACACTGAGTCACACTTGTGGTAGAGATTATGGTTGTGGTATGAGGAAGAAACAGGTTGTGTTTGTATGATTTTAAACTAATTTTCTAACTTTCATTTACATGAATATGAAATAGAAATGCTATTTAAATTGTACAATCTTTTTCATTGTAATATGTGTTTTTTTTTTTATACAAAAATTGTGTAATAGAGGGTCAGCAGTTGTTCACTGGTTAAATTTGTTATTGAAAATTTTGGAAAATTTCGCCAGACGTTCGAAACACGTGTTACGAGGAGATCACCTCCTATTCGCAGGTGTTAAACACGCTAACCAGATACTTCAACACTAGTCGAGGAATAAATAGCACCGCGCTGACACCTCGTTCGTGAAAACTGTCCACAGAAGTCGAACGTACACCTAAGCAATCGTTCTCTTGGTCTTTTTACGACATCCGAGATACCCATGTCGTTAATTGAAAAAGCCTCGACGGGGTCACGATCCTGTCCGCACTTTTCTACCATTACAACCGCTAAAAATCGTTAGAGAAAGCGTGTACCCGCTCGTGTCCGGCCAGATGATACGTCGACGAAAGCTGGTCCCCTGGACAACGATACTTCGGATGATGCGTGTAGCATTACACAGGGAGCGAAGGTGTGCTGAAGAATTTGCGATGGAAACTTCAGGAAGATCAGCTTCCAAACGTGTCACAGCTAAAATTTCATTGTTCCTCTAGCAAAAATTGTCTAGCTTATTCTACATTTTATTAACAACAAATTCTAATCATTCTCTTTAAAATGACGTGAAATTTATGAAAATCGAACGAACAGAAAATTTTTCATATTTTTTCTATTTGACTGTATGACAGTTAAACTTTATCTACCTGTCTCTTTAAACCCGTACGAGACATTGAAACGAAATTTTAACAATATATTCCTTATGAGTAGTTGCATAAATTGACATATGGGTTTTGCTGTATCTCGATTCTTTCATTAATAGCAACATCTTTTATTGAAAAATGAAACAAGAAAAATTGAGTATTGTTCAAAAAATTGTATCTTTGCTCCCAAGCAATATTTTTCAATTCTACTTTACGGATATGTACAGAAAGCTCCAAAGAATACGTGGTTAAAATTTGATCTGAAAATCTGCCACAGTTTCCGAAAAGAAGCGTCACGAAGTTAGCGAGCCTATCACTGCTAAGCTAGACCGTTCCGTCTCCCCTTAAACGGAGTGAAATAATGTATCGAGTGCAGGCGAACGTAAACTTCAAAGCGAAGTTAACACTTTGAACGGCGGCTGGTCTGACAGTCACTTGGTTTAATGCGACGTCCCCGTCGAAAGGGATTCGTCAGCGGGGCTTCCTCCTCGAGGTAGTTCTCGAACGCGTCCCTTTTGACGTGTCGTTCGCCGCCCGTCAAATAAATCCCGGGCCCGTTCACTTTCACCGGCGGCCATAATTAAATCCGAGTTAGAAACGACGGAACCGAGTCGAAAGTTACACGGTTCGCTTGGTGAATGACACCATGCATCACCTGGGGAAGACGTCTTTATTGTTGTCTCCGTGGTTAACTCCGTTCGTGGGCTACCTAGCGCTCGCCTCGCTCGCCTACGGACTCCACACGGTTGCTCGTTACGTAATTGCAACAGGTGTGTCCCTCGAGGTGCCCGGCCACGTGTTTCTACCTATCCCCGCCGTCGTGTTTCTTCGTTCGAACTGAACGCGGAATCGTCGTGAGACGACTGCGTTATTTTTTCTTGTTTTCTCTCTCTCTCTCGAGCTGGATTGATCTGGAAATTGCGCTTCGTGCAATTCTCGACTATATCGTACGTGACAACGTGATCCGGTTGATCTTGTTATATTTCGTGGCGCAGCGGTTTTTAGCTTGTTAGGTGAAATGCTACTTCTTTCTGTCACTCTCTGCGTGTATCGTCCCTGAAGATAGCACGGCGAACGTTTGCATTTCTCTAGGTAGTAGAGCAAACTTTGATTCATCACTGCTGCAATTTTCATAGATGGGCAAAGAAGTTTGTTTGATTAAATTTATGTAGAAGTTCATGAAAGATAAGATTAAAGGTTAAATTAAGGTGCACAGGTGGGAAGAGTAGCGAAAGGGTTAACGAAGGAAATGGAACGACCTCGATACTTGCACTTCCTTAAAATTGTCCGTTCGAGAAGATTTCCGGGAAGGAACGATACAAGGTGGTTCCGCGTTCACGGAGCTCTTCTTCGGTGACGCGTTTATACGCGAACGCGAACGCGTTAAGATTGACGAGAGGGAGAGGGAGGAATCATTCATAGTTGCTCGCAAATTGCCGCTTTTCTGACGTAAGATTTCCCGGAGATCATTGATATCCGATTGTCGAGATAATAGCCTTAATGCGCAACGAGCTGTTTCGCGAACTATCTGACTCATTTTTAACGTGGAATCTAGTGGCGTGAGGTTGCGTCGCGATTCAATCGAGAGACGAGTACAGTTAGCTAATAAGAATGATTAGTTGGTTGAAGAAAAACCTCTGTTGGCCAACGCAAAGATCGACGGTGGTTCGTAGGAATTGATAGGGAAGGCGTTAACTTTGCAATAGAACGATGTGTGCACACTATCGTTTTAGGAATATCAGTTATTATTAGCCACGCGCAGATGGCACACGCTGTGACTCAGAACGAAATAAGTGGCGGCCAGTGATAAGTGCCGGTTCAGCTATGAAGATAACGTCGAAACGGCACTTCTAAGTCGAGTACTTGTATCTAATTCTATGACTTAAGGGAATTTTTCGAAACTACAGCTGATAACTTGGCTAAAAATACACACGAACTCCTCCACGTATATTTAACGATAGCTCGTTACATGGAACGATTGTGTGTATTAGAAAAATAGGATGACCACGAGGAAGATAAAAAGATTCTTCATTTTTTCTTCTTCGTTCGTTCGATTCTTCATGCGATCGTGACTGAACAAATACCACAGTTTCACAATCAACGTCGTTATCACCTGTGCCGGAGGTAGTGATTGGTGCACGAAGTTTCTCGCGCCACATTCCACACCCGTGTGCTAATAGAGCAATATGCTCGTAGAAAGCAATTAACAGAGGCTGTGAATTTCTCGCTAACAAAATACTGATACGTCTAGCCTGTGGCGTGGCCTTGATATGTAGGCGAATTTTAATATGTATAGTCGGAGGAAGAAATATAGCGAGGTCGTAAGATCGAAATCGATATAAGGAATTCTAGGTTAATAAAAACTCAAAATTGGTTCTTCCACTGTAATATATTCAAAAAATTTCAATTCTTAAATTACTGTTGAGGCTTTCGAGTGTAAGCCGCGTCTTCAGACCTTCCGATGAAGTTAGTTCGAATGCTGGCGAAACGTTGGGAAAATAATTCCACAAGGACACAGCTTGCACTCGAAAGCCTCAGCAGATTAATTAGGTTAATTTTTAGAAAAACTGTATCCGAGCAAAAGTAAAGGTAATTTAAAGGAAAATGAAAAATTGTGATTACAGGTGAGCGGGAGGGAGGCGGTGCTGACCGGTGGCGGC